TAAAGAATGAATGGGTTAACCGGGAAATTAAAGAAGAAATAAAGAAATACAGGGAAGCAAATGAAAATGAAAACATGATGGTCCAAAACCTTTGGGATGCAGCAAGAACAGTCATAAAAGGGAAGTATACAGCAATACAGGCCTGCCCCAAGAAGCAAGAAAAGTCTCAAATATAAAACGTAACCTTACACCTAAAAGAGCTAGAAAAGAAATAGCAAGTAAAGCCTAAAGCCAGCAGAAGAAGGGAAATGGTAAATACTAGAGCAAAAATAATTGATACAGAAACAAAAAAGAACAGATGAATGAAACCAGGAGCTCTTTGAAAATTTTAATAAAATTGATAAACCCCTAGGCCAGACTTATCAAAAAGAAAACAGAAAGGACCAAAATAAAATCACAAGTGAGAGAGGAGAAACCACAACCACCACTACAAAAATAGTTATAAGAGAATACTATGAAAAATCATATGCCAGGGGCGCCTGGGTGGCTAAGCTGGTTAAGCGACTGCCTTCGGCTCAGGTCATGATCCCAGGGTCCTGGGATCGAGCCCCGCATCCGGCTCCCTACTCGGCAGGAAGCCTGCTTCTCCCTCTCACACTCCCCCTGCTTGTGTTCCCTCTCTTGCTGTCACTCTCTCTCTCTCTGTCAATTAAATAAATAAATAAAGTCTTTAAAAAAAAATTATATGCCAGCAGATTGGGCAATCTGGAAGAAATGGATAAATTCCTAGGAGCATATAAACTTCCAAAACCGAAACAGAAGAAATAGAAAACTTGAACAGACCAACAGACAGCAAAGAAATTCAGTCAGTGATCAAAAAAAAAAAACAAAAAAAACCCCAAAAAACTCCAAAAAAAGAGAAGTCCAGGATCAGATGGCTTCCCAAGGGAATTCTACCAAACATTTAAAGAAGAGTTAATATCTATTCTTCTCAAACTAATCCAAAAAATAGAAATGGAAGGAAAACTTCCAAAATCATTCTAGGAGGCCAGCATTACCTTGCTTCCAAAACCAGATATAGACACCACTAAAAAAAAAAAAGTACAAGCCAATATCCCTGATGAACATGGATGCAAAAATTCTGAACAGAATACTAGCAAATGGGATCCAACACATATATTGAAAGAATCATTCACCATATCAAGAGGAATTTTATTCCTGGGCTACAAGGGTGATTCAATATTCACAAATCAATCAACGTGATACACCACAATAAAAGAAAGAATAGGAACCATATGATCCTCTCAATAGAGGCACAAAAAGCATTTGACAAAATACAGCATCCATTCCTGATAAAAACCCTCAACAAAGTAGGGATAGAGAGAACATACCATCATAAAGGCCATGTAGGAAAGACCCAGAGGTCATATCATCCTCAATTGGGAAATACTGAGAGCTTTTCCTCCAAGGTCAGGAACAAAAGAGGGATGTGCATGCTATTATTATTTTACATATTACTGGAAGTCCTATTCTCCCAATGAGACAACAAAAAGAAATAAAAGGCATCCAAAATGGCAAGAAGTCAAACTTTCACTATTCAAAGATGACATATTCTATATAGAAAACCCAAAAGACTCCACCAAAAAATTGGTACAATTAATACATGAATTCAGCAAAGTCACAGGATACAAAATCAACATACAGAAATCTTTGCATTTCTATACACCAAAAATGAAGCAGCAGAAAGAGAAATCAAGAAATCAATCCCAGTTACAACTGCAGCAAAAACCAAGAATAAACCTAAGCAAAGAGATAAAAGATTTGTACTCTGAAAACTATAAACACTTATGAAAAAAAAATAGAAGACACAAGGAATGGAAAAACATTCCATTCTCATGGATTAGAAGAACAAACATTGTTAAAATGTCCATACTACCCAAAGCAATCTACACCTTCAATGCAATCCCTATCACAATACCACTAGCATTTTTCAAAGAGCTAGAAGAAACAATCCTAAAATTTGTATGGAACCACAAAAGACCCTGAATAGTCAAAGCAATCCTGAAAAAGAAAAGAAAAGCTGGAGGCATCACAATTCTGGACTTCAAGCTATATGACAAAGCTGTAGTCCTTCAAGACAGTATGGTATGGCATAAAAAAGGACACAAAGATCAATGAAACAGAATAGAAAACCTACAAATGGACCCACAACTATATGTTCAAGTAATCTTAGACAAAGCAGAAAAGAATATCCAATGGAAAAAAGACAGTCTCTTCAACAAAAGGTACTGGGAAAACTGGACAGCTACATGCAGAAGAATGAAAGTAGACCACTTTTTTCCCACCATACACAAAAATAAACTCAAAATGGATGAAAGACCTAAATATGAGATAGGAAACTATCACAATCCTGGAGAAGAACACAGGCAGCAACCTCTCTGACCTTGGCTGTAGCAACTTCTTACTAGACACGTCTCTGGAGACAAGGAAAACAAAAGCAAAAATGAACTATTGGGACTTCGTCAAAATAAAAAGCTTCTTGGGGCATGTGGGTGGGTCAGCTGGTTAAGCATCCAACTCTTGGGTTTTGGCTCAGGTCATGATCTCAGGGTCATGAGATCAAGCCCCATGTCTTGGAGTCTGCTTGGGATTCTATCTCTTCCTCTCCCCCGGCTCCTCCCCCTGTTAACGTTCTGTTATGTTAAAAATAAATAAATAAATCTTTAAAAAAAGATAAAAAGCTTCAGTACAGCAAAGGAAACAATCAACAAAACTAAAAGGCAGCCTATGCTATGGGAGAAAATGTTTGCACATGACATATCTGATAAAGGGTTAGCATCCAAAAATCTATAAAGAACTTAACAAACTCAACACCCTCCCAAAAATGATCGAGTTAAGAAATGGGCAAAAGACATTAGTAGACATTTTTTTCCATGGAAGATATACAGATGGCTAACAGACACATAAAAAGATGTTCAACATCACTCATCACCAGGGAAATACAAATCAAAACCACGATGAAATTCTACCTCACACCTCTCAGAATGGCTAAAATTAACAATGCAGGAAACAACAGGTGTTGGCAAGGATGCAGAGAAAGGGGAACCCTCTTACACTGTTGGTGGGAATGTAAACTGGTGCAGCCACTCTGGGAAACAGCATGGAGGTTCTTTAAAATGTTAAAAGTAGAACTGCCCTATATCGCAGCAATTAAATTACTATGTATTTACCCAAAGGATACAGAAATACTGACTTGAAGGGGCACATGCACCCCGATCTTTACAGCAGCATTATCAACAGTAGCCAAATTTTGGAAAGAGCCCAAACATCCATCAACTGATGAATGGATAAAGAAGATGTAGTGTACATATATGACAGATATTACTCAGCCATAACAAAGAATGAAATCTTACCATCTGCAAGGATGTGGATCAAGCTAGAGTGTATTGTGCTCAGTGAAATAAGTTAGAGAAAGACAAATACTATGATTTCACTCATATGTGGAACTTAAGAAACAAAATAGACGAACATAGGGGAAGGGAAAGAAAAAAAATAGAGGGAGGCAAACCATAAGAGACTCTTGACTACAGAAAAGAAACTGAGGGTTGCTGGAGGGGAGATAGGCAGGGGATGAGCTAAATGCGTGAAGGGTATTAAGGAGAGCACTTGTTTTTTTTGCTTGTTTGTTTGTTTGTTTAAGGAGAACACTAGTGATGAGCACTGGGTGTTATATGTATGTGATGAATCACTAAATTCTACTCCTGAATATATTCCACTATATTTTAACTAACTAGAATTTAAATAAAAACTTAACAAAACAATTATACTTTACAGAGTTTAGAAGCTTTTAATAGTTGGTACTTTAGATATTTGCTATCATTTAAAATCACAACGAATGAGGCCCCCTTAGTTCTTAAATATTGCATTGCCTTCAAAAGTATACACTTTAAGATCTATATATGAGCTATTAACATTTTGCTATTGGTTATTAAAGACAAGTGATTCTCTAATATTTGAAAACACTGTAGCTGGCATTTTCTCTAAGATAAAACAAAATTTTAAATGGAAAAAATATTAAATGACCAAATTTAGTACCCTTTATTACTCAGATATTAATGAAAGATAGCTCTGGACATCCCTTTTCTTCTTTAACTACACTGTAGCTCTCTCATTGGGATGACCACCTTTGGTTACTTAATTATGTCTCCAATTTTTGTCATCCAAACACGATGGTACAATAAATCTAACAGTTTCTGACTGATATAAAAATGAAAATGTGTGCCTTGTTACAAGTGATTTTCTTCTAAAAGTCTGTAAAAATCTGTTTATAATATAGCAAAAAAGCAGTTCTGTAAAATACTAACATTCAAATTCTGTTTTCCCCAAAGCAAAATCATTCTTGAGAACCATCATCATTATTCCATTCTCTAAAATGCACTGCTGTTATAAGGCATATCACTGTAACTAGTGATATGAAATGAAGTATTTTAAGATGCATGTACATACTTCCACCCCCTATTATTTTTTATAATTTATTTTATTCACAACGGCATCGCTTCTCAGCCTTCTGGCATTTTGGTGTATTTTAGGTATCTGTGTATATTTTTACTATAAGTTTGGGAGCATAATATATGTCCTGCCTTGCATTTTGCTTCTTTTCCTTCAACCTTTGTCAATTTGATGAGAAATGATTTCATGGATTTGATTTATATGCCTTTTATTATTGTGGTTCAATTTTTTAAGTAATGCACTGGAATTTTATACATTTTCTTTTACAGATTTATTTACACTAATAATTTTTCTGAAATAAAAGCTCTTTACAAATTAAGGGCATTATTCCAATAAACTGTGTATGTTTTTTCACCAGTTTGTTCCTAGTTTAGTTTGACAATTTAGTGGTTTTTAAATTAGAACTATTTTGTGCTTTTACAAAACGAACATATCCATTTTATTCAAATGCACAATTGAAAAAGAACAACTTACATGGTAAAATTACTAAAACAACACTCATCCGAAAAAGAATGTTTTTTGAAGATAAAAACAAGAAGTGCATCTGTTACCTGTTAAGTGATCTAAGTAGTACTGATAGAGCTTGCACTGAATAGGAGTCATTCTCACAGCTAATACATACTCATGTTTTGGGGGCAAGAACTTTGTTAATGCTGTATAATCTTTCCTCTGTAATTAACAAGAAAGAGAACGAAATTAGTTAACCTAAATATATGACAGGAATTGACTGCTCTAAGAATCATCATTGCTTGCAACTAAAAGATACACATAAATAAATAAGTACCATACAAGAAAACATTTTCTTAAACATATTTAGCCTCTTTAATCACATAATCATCATTATACGATTGTAGTTAATGTATTTCATATGACTACACAATATGATGCACTGGTAAAAGGATACTGCAATACACCAGGCAGGTTTTAAATTGAAGCAGTCATTATTACCAAATGGTCTCCTCTATATAGAAAAACAAAAAAGAAAAAAAGTGTATAGGGGATACAGTAAGCAGTGTTAGGAAAAAAAGACTTGCTTTAATCATACACTAAAAGCAATGAATCAATGTCTGATGCAGTCTGGTTTGTCCTTTCGGTAAAATGTGCCATTATGCCGGAGGATAACACATAGCTTTAGGGAAACTGTTTACCCAGTTGAGAAAGCAAGCCATGTATAAGCACTCTTGATACCATTTAATTAAAGGAACAAGAAAGAAAGAACACTAATGTGCTAGGTACAAATGACTACCTAAACCAGGAAAATACTGTCTAGGTAGTAGCAGCAATACAGAAACTGAGGACTTGCTAGTACTTGTGGCTAACCTGAACAAAAAGGATGACTGCCTTATATGATGGCAGAATATCCAGCCAGAAGGACAGCCCATTTGTTTATTTGTTACATCTTTGTAGCTACAATTAGTATCTAGTGTCTAAAGAAAAAGTGCAGATTGTGAGATCTACTAACTGCTTACTCATTAATACAGATTCACGAAATATCTGTATGTAAACACTATTAACCCATTCAGGTTAGTGTATGACTTCAAAGTAAAAAAAACTGTTTCTTCAGGATTACATTAAAAATGGCTCCTCCACAATTCATAATTGCCTTTCCTACAACTATTTCAAGTAAGTGAGGTTCAGGCCACTCTACTATAAAATTAGGGTGGACATAGGAATTTCTTAATCATAACAGCTATGTTCCTTTTACATACTCCCTGTCTTAAAGATGAGGAATCTAAACATTAGCATAGTAAAATATGAAGCTATATACTTGGCAAATGAATTAATCAATTATGCTATAAATGGAACTCTTTTTTTTTTAAAGTTCAAAGTTTCAAAAACTTTTGAAGACAATGCAAGAAGATTCACTATAAAACTATATACTAAAAAGGGGAAAAGAAAACACAAAATAATTAAATTCAGAAAACATTTTGGGATTATAACAGTAACAATATTTTATTATATGGAATGTGTTTGTACCTGAACACATCCAGCTAACATCTCATAGAGAATGTGAGCACGCTTCTTCATCACTCTGACATCTACCATGGTAGAATCTGCACACTGACCATTTTGGATTGGATTTATAAATCGATTTCTGAACTCTTTAATGGATCCCAGCAAATTTTCCTTGATAAAGTTAACCATACAATGATCTAAGAGAGAAGACATTAGTTCACTAATAATAATAACGGCTAAAAGGGACTCAGAAAAATTCTCTGATAAAATGTTCGTGTCAAAAACACATGCCATGGAAGCATTAGAATTAGCTACAAAGAAAGAACAGCAAACTGAGCATAGACTAAACACTGGTTTTAAGTCTGATCTGGAACTGGATTACCTAAACCAGATGAGAAATTCAAATAAAAACCATCCCTAAATTCTAGACATGAACGTTTAAAAACAACATCTAAGAACATTTTATTCTAATTCACTATTCTCTATAACAGATATGGAGTATAAAACAAGTATTCTATAATTCTAACCATGATTTTATGGTCAGCAAGGGTATCTTGTGAAAAATACACAGATAATGAATTAAAATAATAAAATCAGATAATAAACCACTATATCAAACTTTATATTAACTGATCTAGTTCCAGAATAGAGTTATCAGCTGCCCTATACTACATAGGACCACAATGTGAAACAGCATTTTTTCCACTGTTTCAATATAATTTTATTAGTAGTTATTACATCAAAATTGATATTTATAGGATCCAAGGGACTTAGAAAATTCTAAAGAATATGTATTTGGATTTTAACAGTAAGATAGAACATATTCTCATTATAGGACAGTCCTTAAAAAGTCATGAATAATAATGAGAATTAAATGCAGTTCAATAAAGAACTCGAAATGAACTCTACATGCAGTGTCACTGAAAGCAAAGTTCCATGGGAGTATAAATCTATGGATGTGAATTTCATTGGCAAACACCATAGGTTTGCTTTCTTCACTGCATCATAATACTCTTCTAACTAATATTTTGTTTTTGCAATGTGAAGTAGCATTTCTACAAATGGAGTAACAGAAAAAGGGGTAACTACAACAGATAAAAATAAAGATAAAATATAGGTTATAGTGAAAAACAACCAGTTTTACAAATAATAAAAAACAGCTAAGTTACTATACACTAAATGAATGGAAATAAAAATAACAAAAAACTATTACATTGGATTATAATAAGAAATGTCAATTTGTTATTTGCTGAATAACTCATGTTCCCTCTTAAGTATCACCACATATATGAAAATGAGAAAAAATCACAAGTTATCTGGATTCTCATCTGTCCTCAGTCTCAACAAATTCTATGCTGATATATTCAACACAGCTCTCCTTATCCCATCTTCACATTCCTAAAACATTCACATGTGCCATTTCTTTTCAATTTCCTGTAGTACCTCCCCCCAAATTAGATATATTTCGTTAGAATAGCTCCTGAATTTGTAAAGCAATCATTAAGACTTCTGATAATTTTTCTAAATTTCAAATTCTATGTTTATATTTAAACACTCAAAATAGCACACCTGTTGACTGTGGTTTACCATTCATATTTATAAAGCATTCCACTTGAAATGTATGGTATTCTTTCACAGCAGACTAAGATGGACCTACGCAGATCATAGTCAGACACTATATTAGACAGAAGAAAGGCAAATGGCAAAGTGGCAAAAATGTATCTGAGGCAATGCCAACTCTACAGCATAATTGCAGATATTAACTCACACTCAATTAGGTTATTTTGAAGTGGTGTTCCTGTTAAAATAATCCTCCTCCTTGACCGTATAGAATTCATAGCTTTTGAAACAGCAGATGCTTCATTTTTTAGAATATGACCTTCATCACAAACAACAAAGTCAGGGCCTATAAAAATGTTTGGAAAAACAACATTTAATTAGTATATAATAAAATTTAAAATGTAATTACAAATTGAATATGTAATCCATTTAAGCAAATAAGTTAACTCTTTAAAGTGCTGCTCTTGTGGGAAGATAAAACAATATCCTCATAGTAATAGTCGTATTTTGGGCTCCTGGGTGGCTCAGTTGTTAAGCGCCTGCCTTTGGCTCAGGTCATGATCCCGGGATCCTGGGATTGAGCCCCATGCCGGGCTCCCTGCTCGGCAGGTGGCCTGCTTCTCCCTCTCCCACTCCCCCTGCTTGTGTTTCCTCTTTTGCGGTCTCTCTGTCAAATAAATACATAAAATCTTAAAAAAAAAAGTCATATTTTATCTGCTGCTGTATTTCCTGTAATATGGCACTAACTAGTATTAACTATATCCCAACAGTAGAGTATTAAACTAATACTATAGATGGTACTTAAGATTCTCTCAATAAGAAACAAAAACAAACAAAAACAAAAATAATCAGAAGAGTAAAAAGATCCCTCCCCCAACAGATTTAAGGTATTCGAAAAATAAAATCTTTTATAATTGGAAAACAGTATCTAAAGATATATTTCAGCACTAGTGTATCAAGTAAACACAATTGCCTAAGACTACTAGCAATTTATATATACATGAAAAGACAAATTTCAAAAATTACCTTTTAAAGAATACTATATAAATCACAATAGAGGGGCGCCTGGGTGGCTGAGTCAGTTAAGTGTCTGCCTTAGGCTCAGGTCATGATCCCAGGGTCCTGGGATCAAGGAGCCCTGTATCAGGCTCCCTGCTCAGCGGGAAGTCTGCTTCTCCCTCTCCCTCTGCCCCTACCACTCGTGTTCTCTCTCTCTCTAATAAATAAAATCTTTAAAAAAAATAAAAAATAAATAAATCACGATAGTGATTTATCTGCAGTATCTCCCATTTAACGTATTCCAAATAATGAACACTCTTTGCAGGGGGAAAGTTTAACTGATAAAGGACAGCTAAATTGATTGTTATATGGCTACAGGGCAGATGGGAAGAACACTTTCCAAGCTATAAAAGATCTTACAGCTGAAAGTGACTCTTTCAAAAGAAACATATACACTTTATTAAAATAACATATTATTGTTTTCTAAAGTATGGTTTATATACAATTTGCTTGCTGGTTAATATACATACATACTACTTAAATACTCATTTTAACAATAACAGTTGTCAAATTACTCCCTATCTGTTAGGCAGTAGAGAAAATTTATCTTCTACATGATTTCAAAAGTAAATGCTTCAGTATGATTGATCAAATAATGTAATTGTTAATCAGTATTCAGATGGGGCTACACAAATATTAAGACTTTTTAAAATTACTTATATACTTTCTTAAAAACTAAAATCTATACCTAGCTTTGTATTAAAAGACTACATACTGTTTTTTTTTAATCCTAAAAAGTTTTCTGAGGAGAAAAATTGCCTTTTACATGTGACTTAAGTGATTTTCACCACCATATTCACTGTTCATGAGGGTATGGTAAAACAGGTACTCTCATACAATCTTTGTGAGAGTCTAAATTACTATCAGATATCTTGGAAGACGTGCTCGCTTCAGCAGCACATATACTAAAATTGGAACGATACAGATATCTTGGAAGACAACTTTACAGTACCTATTAAAATGTACAATGTATGCACCCTTTGACCCATATTTCAATTTCTGGGAATTTATCCTAAAGGTATTACTTCCCCAAGTACCCAAAGATACATAAAATAGTCCCTGAAGCATTGCTTGTTTTGGTGGAAAACTGAAAACAACCTAAAAGCTTTTCAAAGGCATTAATAAAACTATAATGGAATGTTGCAAAACTAAAATTAATGATAGAGATCTCTATGTACTAACCTGGAAATATATGCCAAATACATTATTAAATAAAAAGAAGCAAGTTGCACAATCTATATTATGATACTATTTGTATGTAAACAACCACCTCTGGGGCACCTGGGTGGCTCAGTCAGTTAAGCGTCTGCCTTCGGCTTGGGTCATGATCCTAGGGTCCTGGGATTGAGCCCCACATCAGCCTCCATGGTCAGCAGGGAGCCTGCTTCTCCCTCTCCCTCTGGCTGCCATTCCCCCTGCTTGTATTCTCTCTCTGTCAAATAAATAATTAAAATCTTTAAAAAAAGCCACCTCAAACAGGGTGATTTTATCTATGTATACATATATGTAGTAAAAGATTAACCATGCCCAAAGAAAGGTTAGGCCTTTGCCCTCAGCACCTGGGAGGTAAACTCTAAACTTGGAATGTCTTGCCTAAGAAGATGGTCTTTTGTTTACCTGGATGGCTTGGGACACACACCAGATAGTCTAATGAGGTCATTTATGGGGGCAGTGGGGCCTTTGGGCCATATGGCATCTTCTTGACCTTTGGAGGGACTAAAGACTAAGATCAGTCACATGGGTGGTCAAACATGTCTATGTGACCAAGTCCAAACTCTGAACACCAAGGTTTGTAAAAGTGTACTTGGTCAGCAACACTCCGTATTTACTGTTAGGTATCATTGCTGGAAGAAGTAACTGCTGTCTGCATAATTCCACTGACAGATCAGCCTTGGAACTCTCCTGGACCCTGCCCTATGTGCCTTTTCCTGTTGCTGATTTTAATTTGTATCCTTTCACTGTAATAACCCATAACCACGAGTATAACAGCTTTTCTGAGTTGTATTGAGTCCTAGTAAATTACTTAACCTGAGAGTAGTCTTGGGCTTCTAAACACTGCAATATAAAATACATGCTTAAAAAAAAAGCCCACACAATCTGATTAAAAAGTGGAGAGAGGATCTGATTAGAGAATTTTCCAAAGAAGATATGCAAATGGGCAACAGGTACATGAAAAAGACCTCAACATCACTAATCATCAAGAAAATGCAAATCAAAACCACAATGAGGTATCACCTCACACCTGTTAGAATGGCTATTCTCAAAAGAACAAGAGATAACAAGTGCTAGTGAGGATGTGGAGAGAAGGGAACCCTTGTGCACCACTGGTAAGAATGTAAATTGGTGCAGGCACTATGAAGGTTCCTCAAAAATTGAAAAGTAGAACTACCACATGAACGACCATTTCTACTTCTGGGTATATATCCAACAAAATCATTATCTCAAAGAAGTATCTGAACTACCATGCTCACTGCAGCATTATTTGCGAGAGCCAAGACAGGGAAAGAACCTAAGTCCACTGACAGATGAATGGATAAAGAAAATGTGGGGTATGTATCTATATACAATGGTTTATTATTCAGCCATAAAAAAGCAAATGCTGCCATTTGTGACAACATGAATGAAACTTGAGGGCATTATGTCAAGTGAAATAAATCAGACAAAAAAAGGCAATAACTCTATGATCTCACTTACATGGAATCTAAAAACAAAACAAAACAAACTCAAAGATACAGAAAATAAATTGGTAGTTGCCAGAGGCAGGTGATAGGAATGAGTGAAATGGGTAAAGATGGTCAAAAGTTATAAACTTCCAATTACAAGATAAATAGGTCCTGGGAATGTAATATACAGCATGCTAATCATAAATAACAATACTGTATTATATACTTAAAAGTTGCTGAGAGAGTAATTAAAAGTTCTCATCCCAAGAAAAAAATTATAACTATGTGGTTGATGGGATGTTAACTAGACTCATTATGGTGATCATTTTGCAATATATACATATATTGAATCATTATGTTGTATACCTGAAACTACTATAAGGCTATAGGTCAATTATATCTCAAAAAGTACATGCTTGTTTGCATAAACACAAAAAAATTCTGGAAGGATATACAGGAAACAACAGTGAAATGGGAGGAAGGGAACTTTTACTTTTTAATATACACCTTTTCCTTCTGTTTATATTTTGCTCAAGAACATGTACTGCTTTTATAATTTAACTTAAAAAGAACTATTAGTGTGACAATGAAAGGAAAGGGGACCCTATCCTTAGTAAAGACATCTGAGGGAATAAAAGTAGGAAGAAAGAATAAAAGTAAGGGTGCCTGGGTGGCTCAGATGGTTAAGCGTCTGCCTTCAGCTCAGGTCATGATCCCGGGATCCTGGGATCGAGTCCCACATCGGGCTCCCTGCTCTTTGGGAGCCTGCTTCTCCCTCTGCCTCTCTCTCTCTCTGTCTCTCATTAAAAAATAAATAAAATCTTAAAAAAAAAAGAATAAAAGTAAATATATTCATGAATAATCCTGAGTCAACAAAAAAGCTAAAAGATGTTACTCATATTCTATTTACTAAGATAGGAATGTATATAACATTCTAACATTAAAAAGTTTTAAAATCTTTAATGTTTAAAAGAAATAAGTTTTAATAATCTTGGAAATGTATTTTCTGGAAAACCTCATTCCAATGAGGTGGTAGGATTTGAAAATAGCTACTATAGAAATCATTCTAGAGAAAGTACAGGGAGAACGTAGTCATGAGGCTCTGGAGAGTGGAAGAAAAGGGATTTAGCAAGAAGCTTAGACAAAAGTTCTCCTGTTCAAAAATAAAGCCTGACTGAAATAGTTCAATACACCATGGAAATTTGTCATTATTTTATATAATTACATAGGTTTATTTTATTGTTTAAATCAAACAGTACCTTAAATTAATATTCTGTGTGTGCATAAAGGATTGAAGTACTGGTAACGTGCTACAACACAAATAAAGCTTGCAAGCCTTACCCTAAGTGAAGAAAAAGTTAGATATTGTATGATTTCACTTTTACAAAACGTCCAGAAATATTTTTATGAAATGTCCAGAAAAGGCAAATCCACTGAGACAAAAAGTACATTGGTAGTTCCCCAGGGATAGGGCATTCGGGAATGACTGCTAACGAGTACAGAATTTCTTTCTGAGGTGATGAAAATGCTGTGGAGTTCAAGGGAATAGTTGTGATAGTTACATAACATTGTGAATACATTAAATGCCACTGAATTGTAAACTTTAAAACGGTTACATGGATTTTATGTTATGTGTATTTTTACTGCAATAAACTCTAGTCATTAAATTAAAATGTGGGATAATGCAGATTAATATTCAAGCTACCACAATGAATAAATGTTTAGGATGACTTAAAGTAAGTAACTGTGCTATGAATTAAAAAAGGCAAGTATAGTAATGAGGTTATAAACAGATTATTCATTTGTCAAAGCCCAATAAACTCCACATTACAAAGAATAAACTTTTATGTATCTAAATAATAAAACAAAGGAACTGACCTAAGTGACTTTAGAAAATATTTTAATTATAAATTATAAAGCCATAGGCAAAAACAATCATATAAACACTGTACTATAGTTGGTAAACTTGTTTCTCACAGAGGTACAGGTTAACAATTCTGAAATTACTTTGCATGTATAATGAGTCTGGACAAATAAATAAATGGATGGTGGATAGCTGGAGCCAGGATTCTCATAGTTGGAAAAGTAACAGATTAACAAAGAAGGTGAAAATGAACACTATGATACTGGATTAGACTCGAAGACACCATTATGAAATCAAGTTTATCTCTATGCACTCACACACAAAGGGATAGATTTGTGTGCAGATGGGCGCCTGGGTGGCTCAGTTGGTTAAGCGACTGCCTTCAGTTCAGGTCATGATCCTGGAGTCCCAGGATCGAGTCCCACATCGGGCTCCCCGCTCAGTGGGAAGTCTGCTTCTCCCTCTGACCTTCCCCCCTCTCGTGCTCTCTATCTCATTCTCTCTCTCAAATAAATAAATAAAATCTTAAAAAAAAAAGATTTGTGTGCAGATGCAGATTTGTACACATATCACCTGCTGAGAGGACCTAGAAGCAAAGATACTCCAATAGCAACAAACATTCCCAAGCACCCAGATCTTGGTTTGTAAACACCATTTTTCAATAAAAGGCACCATGGCACACTACTGAAATGGTTAATTCTGGGGCAGAAGGCAGAGACAATATAACATAAGCCCAGAGTACCTTATAGTACCAGAAAGTAATGAAGTGCTTAAAACAACAACAACAAAAAGTATGACATATCAAAGGGATACAGGAACCAATCTACAAACCTGAAAGAGCTCTCAATGGCCAAATTGGAACAATTTGAATAACAAAATAAATAACATAGCATTAGTTTATAATCTAACATATAAACTAATAATAGTCTGTACTGATATAAATCAATGATTGATTATATAAATAAGTAGAAAGGACAAATCTTTCTTAAAGAAAAACTCCAAATTTTATGTGCAGATAATGGCCACTAAGGGAGACAGAGCTTAATTTCTGCCTTCCCCCAACTTGGGTAAGCTAGATTTTGTGACTGACTTCCAAAGAACAGAGTAGAGACAAGTGAAAATAGTAGATCCAGTAATGTCACGTAGATCTAATGTACCCTGGATATGGTGTGATGAGAAAGGTATTTCACCTCTGGCAAATTTTTTAAAAAACCTATAACCCCAGTCTAATTACAAAAAGAACAAACACACACTAGTGAACACTCTATAGACTACTTGCACAACATTCAAGACTGACAAGATAATGAAAAATAAAGACTGAGAAGTTGTCATAGACCAGACAAGACTGTGGAGACATGACAATTAAATGCAGTGTAATACACCCTAGATCAGATCCTGGAACAGAATGTGGACATGAAAAATGGTGAAATTCAAATATAGTTTGGAGTTTAGGTAACATATGCCAACAATGTATCAATTTCTTAGTTTTGACAAATCTACCATGGCAATGTAAATGTTAACAGTGGGAAATCTGGGCACATGGAATATGGGAGTTTGTTTTTTGGTTGTTTTCTGTTTTTTGGTTTTACTATCCTTTCACATTTTCTGTAAAAAAATTATTCCAAAGTAAAACATTTTTAAAATGTCACTAAATGATTTACATGGAAATAACAAATGTTATTCTTCATGTCAAGCTTTAATTTTTTAAAAATTTATTTCCTCATGAACAAATCACAATGTTAAGCATCTGAAACTGTTGTTTTACCTATTCCAAAGCAATCTTCTTAAAAATCTGTTGCAATACTACTCACCAGCTTAAAGTTCTCTGACGATAAAACCACAGAACTTTCAGACAAATACTTGATAAACTTATTGAGCCTTAGATTTACAATGGCAATGTTACTTTGGTACACGTTAATTAAACCATTATCTTAAAAAAGAGGCAAAACAGTACAAACATTGTTATAAGATGAATAAGGTCTGAGAATCTAATTTATAACGTAAGTATAGCTGATAACACTGTACTGTATAATTAAAATTTGCTAAAAGAGTAAAACTTAAATGCTGTCACCAAAAAAAATGGGGAGAGTAAATATGTAAGGTCATAGATGTGTAACTCAAAGGGGTGAATCCTTCTGTTAGGCTAGGCCTAAGCAACAGGAGGATGGAATCAGATGTCCTGATAGAGAGCCCCCAACTGAGGACCACACAGGGACCACCCCATTCCACCCATCTAGCCAGTCAGTTTGCAGTTACAACATCCCGACAGAGTTAGAGTTAATTTTTGTTGTGCTTGTTGCACTTGTGCAGAAAGCAGTCACTTGTCCTTATTTGACCGATGTCTCTAAAATAGAAATAATGTTGTGGTTTCCTACCCCATTAAGGCACTTCAAATATATTTTGGGAAAGGACATGGATAGTTGGCTAATCATTATATAATCCAGGCCTGTCACTCAAATGTTTTGACCCTAGGACCCACCCAAAAGAAAAAATTGATATAAGCCCACACCCAGGAGTTTTCTGGGCCTTTGTCTCTTTTGAGTAGGCGACCCCTCCTTTGGTATACTTTAATAAAACTTTGCTCTGCTTTTCTTTCATTTTACTCTCCTGTAATTCTTTAATGTGGGCAGTGAAAATAACTGAGGCTTCTTTCCTTTTCATTCTCTCAGTAACACTTCCAAAATGTATTCATTTATCAAAATCATACATTGTACACTTTAAATATTTTACAACTCTGTCCATTATATCTGAATAAACCTGAAAACAATAAATAAAATTTAATAAAAAAGAGGCAAATTGATGGATTCTAAAGAATAATGTTATTTTGACAGTGAAAATTAGACTTTCTTAACACACATCTAAAGCCTCAATAAGTGCTTCAAAGTAACTAGATTAAATAAGAATAGTTTAAAAAAATACAAATAATTAAAAATTAATTAGTTTTGTGAATAATACAACTTGCTGCTTTTCCAAGTGCCAAATAAGAATTAAATATGTGGATCTTGCATTATGAGAATTACTGTCATAAGGCTAGACAGTATTGTAAATATTAACCTTCCATAGTGATGACACTTTAAAACACGGGAAAAAAAACATGCAGCAATTCTTCTAATGACATAAAACTAGGAAAGAAATTTAACTGTTTCCAGAGTATGGAGAGAGGTCTTGTTACCATCTAATATTCAGACAGTTGGAAGAAACCGCAATTGTGACTTAGGCACCTGATGCATTTTTAGTTGTTTACAAGATCTCCCTAAAAACCTCAAACACTTCCAGACTCAGCAACTGAATTCTGAAAATTTGGCAACATTAAGGCTTTCACCTTAATAAAATTGTACTAAGAAACAGAAAGAGGAAAAAACCAGAAGGACAAATAAAACAAAAACCAGATACTTAGTATTTGCTTGTTAAACAGAACATCAGCATATTTTTTATTCAACTTGCTTATTTATCTCAGTGCCTGTTAATATATTACCTGGATCGACCAAAGCTTTGTTAAAGATTTCCTTAAGTTTCCTACTCTTCACATTCCTTCCTTGAGCAAGATTTCTGTACATCTCATAGCCTATGATCATAACACCACCATCTTCTTGCCACCTCTGCAGCATGTAGCTTCTCTCCTGAGGACGTTTCACAGTTGCTAATTCAGAGACCTTTTGTGGGAAAATAAAGATTCTTAAAGGTAGCTATTAGGAATGTAGGAATACTGCATATTCCCATGGAAATATGCATAACTGGTAATTAAAAATCTTTTACTATATGAATTTCATGTAGTTATTTTAATAAAAGAAAATATTTAAATTATAATACCTCAAGCTTCTCATCATCTTTTAATCCCTCCTGCCACTTCTCAAATTCATTCATCCAATTCAAAGCGGTATTAAGAGGACAAACCACTAAAGCTGTGCTGAAATCCAATTTGTCACACAAAAGAACCGTATGAAGAAAACTTACCACCTACAAGAAAACAAATTAAGTTACCATCTTCAACTAAAATACTGGCAAGAAAGTTTAAATAAAACAATCTTACAATTTACTAGTTTTGTTTTCTTTTACCTTTAAACAATAAAGCAACCAACCAAAGGTCACAATTTCCATACCAGGCAAAGTACGGGGAAAAAGATATAATATATAAAAAGACAGAGTTTGATTACATGATGTATAAGGTTCTTCTAACTCTAAAGCTCCATGATCCTATGATCAATAATAATAATATGAATATAAGAAATAACCATACCAAAACTACGACTAAGTCCCTAGTCTCTGCCCAATGTGCCTCCCCACAAACTCAGAAACTGCCATTGCCAATTTAGAAGAGAACGGTGTTATACAGTATTTTTCCATTCTGAAGTGTTCTGAATTGATATCTTGGGAAGATGAAGGTGGAGTACGAGGACCCTAGGCTCGCCTCATCCCACAATTAAAATAACTATCAAATCATCATAAATATCCCAGAAATTAACCTAAAGAAACTGGTAGAACAAACTCCACAAGTGAAGGTAGAGAAGAGGCCACATCAAAGAAGGTAGAAAGTACAGAGATGTGGTTTGGGACAGAAACGGTTCAAGGCCACTGTGGTGGGGAGGGAGATGTGGTCGTGGAGAAGGACAAAAGACAGCCTACCACACAGGGGAGCACAGAGGGAAAATGAATCCCCAAAGCAACTGGCTTGGAATGTGAGGAAGCTGAATTTGGTGAGTTCTTGAAACCAGTGGGGCTTGAAGTCCAGAGTTTTAAAGGTCAGCAGGCATGCCTGAGATACAGCCCAGAGGACAATGTGCTGCTCTTGGAGAGAAAGCAAACAGTGCACGGACATACAGCATGGCAGCAAAATGAAGAGTACCTGGGGCACACAGTGGGGAGGGTATTCACTCATCTCAGACCACATCCCAGGGAAACAGCATTCCCAAAGAGACCCCTCCAGGAACAAAGAAACCTGGCAACATCATCTTCCCAACCCTCCCCTCAGCATAAGCACAAGGTCACCTGTGGGAAGCAGAAGAGCACTGACACTTGTTACCTAACTTGCTTAGACTAAGCCCAACTGCCAGCATTCCAGCAGAAGCACCCCTCTGAGTCATGCTTCCCTTAGTCCCAGGGCAGAAGGCCCTCTCCCCCAGAAGACCAACCCAAATCCCTGTTCACACCGCGTCTCCCGACCTGGGAGTTTTCAGGATCTCAGTTCAGTAGCAGTTGCAACACTTCTCATTTCACAAGCAGACCTCAGCACACCTAGTTAAAAGATGCCACATTCCTGCAAGAAATCAAACACTGCCCACAACAGGCAAAGAAAGTCTCTGCAGACGGTGGCTGTGAAGGATAAAGCGGCCAGAACAAAACAACAAAGCACATGCAGCACCCATTGGAGACACTCCCACAAACACCAGACCCTAGGGAACAGAGGACACTATATGGCACGTCACTACAAGACCTTTTCTTCATAAGGTCTATCCTCTAAAGAATAGGAGACTGAGCTCACTTTTCTAACATACAGAGACATAGACAAAATGAGAAGACAGAGAAATTTATCCCAAATGAAAGAACACAATAAGTCCATAGCCACAGATCGAAGTGAAACAGATATAAGTAATATGCCTGATAAATAATTTAAAGGAATGATCATAAGGATACTTACTGGACTTGTGAAAAGAGAGGAAGACATGAGTGAGACCCTTAACAGAGAGATAAGAAATAACATAGCAGAGATAAAAGGTTCAATGAACGAAATGAGGGGTGCCTTGGTGGATCAGTCAGTTAAGTGAACCTGCCTTCACCTCAAGTCATGACCCTGGGGTCCTGGAATGGAGCCCCGTGCTGGGCTCCTTGCTCAGTGGGGAGCTGTCTTCTCCCTCCACCCCCCCATGCTGTCTATCCTGCTCACTCTCAAATAAATAAATAAAATCTAAAAAAGGGGGGGATGAGGCTCAATAAATGAAATGAAAAACAGGTTAGATGGAATGAACAGCAGGCTGGAAGAAGCGCAGAAATAAATTAATGACCTATAAGACAGAGTAATGTAAAGTAATGAAGCAAAACAAAAGAGAGGAAAAAAAATATTATGCAAAGTGAGAAGAGACATAGGGAAATGACTCCATCAAACACAGTAACATTTTGTATTACAGGAATCCCAAAGGAAGATGACAGAGGGGTGCCTGGGTGGCTCAGTCGTACAGTGTCTGCCTTCAGCTCGGGTCATGATCCCAGCGTCCTGGGATCGAGCCCTGCATCAGGCTCCCTGCTCCACAGGAAACTGCTTCTCCCTCTCCCACTCCCCCTGCTTGTGTTCCCTCCCTCACTGTCAAATAAATAAATAAAATCTTTTAAAAAAAAAAGATGACAGAGAAAAGAGGGCAGAAAATTTATTTGAAAAAATAATAGCTGAAAACTTCCCTAATTTGGGAAAGGAAGCAGATATCCACATGCAGGAAGCACAGAGAACTCCCAACAAAGTCAACAAAAGCAGACACATACCAAGACATACTGTAATTAAATTGACAAAATATAGTGAAAAAAAATTTTAAAGCACTAAGACAAAAGAAGAAAGTGACATAAAACCCATAAGGCTACCAGCAGCCTTTAAAGCTGAAACTCTGTAGGCAAGGAGAAAGTGGCATGATATATTCAAAGTGCTGAACAGGAAAAATCTGTGACCAAGAATACTCTATCCAGAAAGATTATCATTCAAAATAGAAGGAGAAATAAAGAGTTTACCATACACAGAAAAACTAAAGTAGCAAGAAATATTAAAGGAGACTCTTTCAGTTGAAAGGAGAGACCAAAAGGATTAAAAATAAATGTTTCTGTAAAAAATCAATAAAGGAACAAATAAAAGGATGTAAAATATGACACCAGATACCGAAAACATGTGGAAGAGAGGAGTAAAGAATGGGCTCGAACTTAAACGACCATCAACTTAATACAGACTGCTATATGCAGAAGTTATATAAAACCCTAATGGTAACCATATATCAAAAACCACTAATAAACATGCAAAGAATAAAGAGAAAGAAATCAAAATATATCACTAAAGAAAATCAGCAAAACATGGAAGAGAGAAAGACAAGAATCAAAGAAAATCTTCAGAAACAACCACAAAATGAATAATAAAATGACACTAAATACATAACTATCAATAATTACTTTGAATGTAACTGGACTAAGTGCTCCCAAAAAAGACATAGGGTGACAGAATGGATTAAAAAAAACAAAAAGACCCATCCATATGCTACCTATAACAAAGTCATCTGAGACCTAAACGAACCTGATGATTAAAAGTGAAGGGATGGAGAAAACATATATCACCCAAATGGATGTCAAAAAAAAAAAAAAGCCAGAATAGCAATACCTATATCAGACAAAATATACTTTAAAACAAAGATGGAACAAGGGACAAAGTAGGACACTATATAATCATAAAGGGAAAAATTTAAAAAAGAAGATATAACAACTGTGAATATTTATACACTCAACATGGGAGCACCTAAATACCTAAAACAATAAATAACAAACATAAAGAAATTGATGATAATACAATAATAGTGGGGATAGGGGTGTCTGGGTGGCTCAGGTGGTTAAGCGTCTACCTTTGGCTCAGGTTATGATCTCAGGGTCCTGGGATCAAGCTCTACATCAGGCTCCCTGCTCAACGGGGAACCTGCTTCTCCCTCTCCCTCTACTGCTCCCCCTGCTTGTGCTTTCTCTCAATAAATATCTTAAAAAAAAAGAAAAAAAATAATAGTGGAGATATTAACACCCCACTTACATCAATGGACAGATCATCTAAACAGAAAACCAACAAGGAAACATTGCCTCTGAATGACACATTGGAACAGATGAATTTAACAGATCCATGCAGAACATTCCATTGTGAAACAGCAGAATACATTCTTCTCAAGAGCACGAAACATTCTCCAGAATATGACATTAGCCAAAAAACAAGCCTCAACAAACTCAAGAAAACAGAATTCATACCATAAATCTTTTCTGACCAAAATGCTATTAAACTAGAAGTCAACCACAAGAAAAAATCTAGAAAATAACAAATACGTGGAAATTACATAACATACTATTAAACAATTAATGGGTCAATCAGAAAATAAAAGAAGAAATAAAAAGCTACGTGAAAAACAAATGAAAATGAAAACACAATGACCAAAAACCCCTGAGATGGAGCAAAACAGAAGCAAGAAGAATCTGAAATAAACAACCCATCCTTACACCTAAAGAAGCTAGAAAAAGAGCAACAAACTAAAATAAGCAGAAGGAAGGCGATAATAAAAATTACAGCAGAAATAAATGATTTAGAAAATAAAAAAGACAATAGAAAAGATCAATGAAACAAGGAGCTGGTTCCTTAAAAAAAAGCAAGAAAATATATAAACCTCTAGCTAGACTGAGAAGTAAAAAAAGAGAAAGTACTCAAGTAAATAAAATTATAAATTAGAGAGGAGAAATAACAAATGACATTATAAAAATACAATTATAAGAGAATATTATGAAAAACTACATACTAAAAAAAATGGACAACCTAGAATGAATGCGTAGAAAAATATAAACTGCCAAAACTGAAAAAGGAAGATATAGAAAATTCAATCACAACCATAACCAGCAAAGAAATTGAATGAGTAATCAAAAAAAACCTAACAAACTAAAGAGCAGGAAAAAAGGACTTCATAGGTGAATTCTACCAAACATATAAAGAAGAGTTAATACCTATTCTTCTTGAACTACTAAAAAATACAGAAAAGGAATAAAAACTTCCAAATTCACTCTATGAGGCCATCATTACCCTGATTCCAAAAACAAAGAAATCACTAAAAAGGAGAACTACAGCTCTTTTCTTCCCCGGCTGCTTGAAGCCTTGCCGCCATCATGAACGACACAGTAACTATCCGGACCAGGAAGTTCATGACTAACCGACTACTTCAGCGGAAACAGATGGTCATTGATGTTCTTCA